ATGCTTTATATCGGGTGTTCAAATTAAAGTGTTACAGCTAAATACCGCCTATTATAAAAAAAAAAAACGTTTCAGACGAAAGTTTTATAGTTTTGTGGCGAAAAATTTTTGCTAAAAACGTTTTTTTCAGCTAACCATAATATGGCCAACTTTTTTTTCGCCTACCAAAATTTTTAAGTAGCTGTTACTCAAAAAGTGAAAGTCGAATAAGAAAATTATTTCCATCTAAAGTTTCTTATTTTTTTATGTACTTTAAGAATATTTACAAAAAAAATGGGGTTCCCATTTAAAAAACAAAGTCCACCTCGATAGGACCATATTATGATCAGCTATAAAAAAAAAATTTTAGCCAAAATGTTTCCCCCAAAAAACTATAAAACTTTCGCCTGAAACTTTTTTTTCTAAAATGCATATTTTCGGCGGTATTTAACTATAACACTTTAATTTGAACACCCGGTATTCTGTTAATTATTATTATTATTATAATGTTTTTTACATTGGGAATTTATTGTATTTTGCAAAGCAATAGCCTTACTGTTAATAATCGATACTTATATATACTGCGTCTATACCTTCAATAAATAGTTCATATTTTCTTATTTTTTATTTTCCTCAAAAAAATACAAAAATAAATCATAGCGTATAAATCAATAATCCCTGAATAAAATAATATGAGAGAGTCAAACTGATTGCATACATTTTAGCACTGAGAGAGAAGAAAGAGAGTCGAGAAGCTTTACCTTCAATGTTTGCTTTCTAGTTAAACCATGATATAACTAATTGTTTATTGCTATATTTTTGTTAATATAAAAGCAAAAAATATGGGGAAAGCACTGTTACTTTGATAATACATAGGCGAAACTTTTATGAAGAATAGTTTTTTCTCATTTAGGCCTTTGTTTTTCGTCAAATGAGAGGTATATTTCTAAAAAAAGATTTTTTATACAAATTTGTGGACGGTTGAAACCGAGATATTGACGTTTAAATTTTTTTTCGACCATAAGGGCTAATGCAAATGATTTTTTTTAAATAATTATAAAAAACACTTCCTACAAAGACCTAATTGTGCATTAGAACAAAAAAATAAGCAATTTTTTTTTTCTATATGGTGGTATCAATAACTCGATTTTTTATGATAGTGCCCTTTTGCACTGTCTAATTTTGTATTACCTCCGGAATAAGGGTAAGCTTATCATGTACTTTCATCCCTGAAAAATTCAGCTGGTGACACCGAAGTGGGAGGCAAAGTCAAAAAAATTTTAATTTATACCATATAAAAGCCCGTACCTGTGAGTTTAGAAGAATACATTTTTATTCGCAGATGCGAAAATGGAGAACGTATATTTGTTACTTAGTTGCTAACTAGAGGCAGCACCTCTCGGATAACTTTATTTTGTCTCTCTCTGGGAGGACTTGTTCAGACTTCTCTGTTCCAATGCACGCCCTTAATATGAAGTCGTGCTGGGTTGTGGATCAGTCAGCACGTTAGATGAAGACGTGCTGGGTTGCGAATCAGTCAGTACTTGAGATGAATGGATTGGCTCCAATAGCATTTTGATCATCCATGTCACTTCTGAAACGTGGTTATCAATATGATCACTAACCAAAGGACCCCGCACACCGCTTATGGAAAAGTGGCGACCTGTTAAATGTCATAAATTTGTGATATGTTGCAGTTCTCGACCTCCTGCAAGTGTCAATGGGACCATTCAAATCATATGACTGGTTTTTGAGATACAGGGTGTTAAATTTAATTTTTAAATTGTTTTTCCCATATAAATTTAAAACGGCATATGCGATTTTGCTGAAATTTGGTATATTGGTAGAGTTTTATGTGGCAAAAAAATGGTATTAAAATCTTGTCCGATAATAATACATAGGCGTAGAACTTGATTTTTTAAATAATTGCACCTTTAAAAATTCTACGCCAACTAATATTTATAAAAAAATATATTGGCCTATATCAATATATCACTCTGTAGAAATGGCACCTAATATTTTTGTATTAATTACCGTTAGACATGATAAATATAGCAACAATTTATTTTTTAGTAAATATTTTCACCTTCTAGAACAATAAAAGTAAACACGTCCTTCCTTATTTGTAAATTACATTATAGAAAATAATTTTTGACAGCTTTTTTCTATTCGTAGAATGCCAAGAGATGTTACAATAAGATTTGACACAAAAAAATATTAATAAGCCTTCTCCTGAAATAACCGTTATCAAATAAGTGGTATTTTTTAAGTTTAACACCCTGTTTCTCAAAAACCTATCAGAAAAAAGCTATAATTTTGAAAAATATCTTCTATAGGATAATTGATACGCCAGTGAAAAAATATGTCTAGTTTTAAAGGACTAATCAAAAAGTATAGGGTGCTTAAAAAATTGTTTTTGACACATTCGTTAAATTAACTATCAATAAATTTATTAAATTACCTTGTAGTCAATGAATTGGATAATTATACATATGATAAATACACAAAAGTTCCGTAAACATACTGTGTTTTACATTAATACTTATAAAAAAAATATATTGACCCATGTCGATATTTACGAATCACCCTGTATAAATAGCACTTAATATATTTTGTATTATCATCAGACATGATAAATATAGCAATAATTTTTTTTAGTAAATATTTTCATCTTCTAAAACAAAAGTTTTATAAAAAACACGTCCTTACTTATTTGTGACTCACCCTGTAAAAGAAAATAATTCTTGACCTCTTTTTATATTCGTAGAATGCCGAAAGATATTACAATAAGATTTTGCACAAAAAATTATAATCGATTAGCTTTCTCCTGAAATAAACGTTATCAAATAAGTGGTATTTTTTAAGTTTAACACCCTGTATCTCAAAAACCAGTCATAGGATTTGAATGGTCTCATGGACACTATTACTTAGGAGATCGAGAACTGCAACATATCAAAAATTTATGACATTTAACAGGTCGACACTTTTCCATAAGCGGTGTGCGGGGTCCTTTTCTTCAGAAATATTAACGTAAGCTTCTAGCTGTTCCTCGGTTTCAATTTTCTCACCAGAAAGCAAATCCTGAATGGTAAAAGACTGCCTAGAAGACCTGGCATAGCTAAGTTGTCAAAATAAGGTGACCCTAGCCTGAGTGCCAGGCCATGAGGGATATCAGGGCAACAAAAAAGCTGACGAATTAGCCCGAGAAGGCTCAGATACGGCTATGACAGGCCCCGGACCCTTTTGTGGAGTTGGTAAGGCATTATGCAAGGCATCCATCAAACAGTGAATACAAAAAGTATCAGGAATGGTGGAACACCTATCCAAGCCTGTGAGGCAGGCTAAACAATTTATCAAGGAACTATCGGCCAAGTTCATGAAAGACCTACTTGATCAAAAACGTCAAATCATTACGATAACAGTAGGCCTTCTTACTCGACTCTGTCGCCTTAGAAGGTACATGAGTGTCATCAATCCAGCAGAAGAAGCAACTTTGTGCAGGTTCTGAGAAAAAGAAGAGAAAAACATTAACTCACGGCCTAGCTAGAATGAGGTTTCTAACATCAGGAGAAGAAAAGTTTATAACGCATTCAATTACATGCGGGAGCCACTGTTAAAGCTACTAAATCTAATAAAAAAGACCAAGCCAGACGACATACATACTTTAAAAAATGGAGTCCTACAATAAACCTGAAAAGGTTGCGGTGAACAAGGACAAATAATTTCCAACTCCTTTTAAATCAAATAAAATCTAATCTAACCTGCCTGCAGAAGCAATCCAAGCGGCTTGGTTGCTTCCTGCATAATAGAGAAGAGACTTAGTGACAGTTCGTTATTTTTATTCTTTGTGAGAGTGAGTATTACAAATAGGAAAACGAATATTTTTGTGATACAATATGAATAACATATCTCAAAGAATTCTTCTGATGACAAAAGCTATTGGATAGGAGAAGGAAAGACCAAGCTTTAGTCAGGTAAATCGTAGATAATAAATAGAAAAATGGATATTGCTTTTTTATAATAACGCTTTTTTATAATTTAAAATAAAATTATTTTACTCAGACCCTAATTTCCTGCGATTCGATATTGCTACCTACAAGCTGGAATACAACCAGACCTAAAGTTCGTACCAAAGAGCATTTAGCAGGTATTGCACAATCAACGATGATACGCATATTTAAAGCCCTTGAGTTTTTTATAATTGTCAAAACTTTGACATTTGATTACTCAATACCTTTTTTTGGGGTTGGTTCAGTTATGATTTCTTACCTGCAACATGGAGTTTAAGAAATTTAAAGGCATACAAGTGCTCCATGCGAGTGCGTAAATTGTGATTTTTAATATGATTTGTTACTTAGTCAATGACTATAAATTGAGTGTGACTGCAGCAGTCGTGCTTCCAAAATGAGTGGGATCAGTGAAAAAACAATTTATACCATCAAGAAAGTTCTATATTATTTCTATGTAGTTACTACTTCCTATCCCGTAATAACTCTGTAACTTCATTACATTTTATTTTTTTTAAGACATTTCTCTTTCTTGAATTGTTAGCTCCAACCCCTTTTTTATTAACCGTTTATCTTTAAATAGCTTTATAATTAATGATTTTCTTCTCTAATGAATCGTAGAGATTATTCAACGGCTAAAATGCGGCCATTTTGAAAATCAGTACCACACAAAAAGTGTTTAACACAAATTATTTGTTGCGGATTGAAAGCCATCTTTAGGCAAAAACGGAAGATACATATGTGGTACTGATTTTGAGAATTTTATTTTCGTTTTCTCTTCTAATGATTTCACTTTTTCTATTAATTCCTATATATCTCATTATGTTTGAATAAGTGTCCTTATCGTAACTTCTACATTTTACCTTAAGATTTCGCATTCATTTACGTCAAAAAAGGTCATTTTGTTGGTAATTTCGGTTTTTACTATATTTTTAGTAAATTTTCAAACTTACCTGCAAACTTTAAATTTAAAACTAAATCTTTACATTCTATATATTTTTTTAATATTTTTAGGTGGCGACAATAGATGTTGTTATTTTATTGAAAAAGAATTTTCCCTTATTAGACCAAATCAATTATTGGATAACTGTTGGTCATGAAACGGGTTTGATTATAAAATGGTGGATGCAAGCTAACAGCGATATGGATAAGCTTGAAGCTGCTCAACGAGATCATACACATTTACAACCATTAACTATGGAGAATCTAATTAGTAGTTTTTTATTTCTCTTGTGTGGTTTGATTATTTCAAGTTTGGTGTTCCTGGTAGAATTAAAAGTAGGAGTAACACGATACACAATCAAGTAGGAGAAATACGTACCAAGGCGATTTTGTCCATTTTTATCTGTAACAATAAATGTTGGTAAATGAAAAAAACGTAATTTCCAATATTCTAATTTAGTTAATAAATATTTCGTTTGTAACTTAGATAAAAGAGACCAGAGATATAACATACACCGGTTTTAAACCTGCGCAAATGTTGCCAATTTCTAAAGAAGGGTTAACGGAGTGGGGGAACTGGGCGGCGACACGCGGCGACACGCGGCGACCCGAACTCTGTGACAGGGACCGGACTTTGTTTATTAGCATCTTAATGAACTATTAGGTTTATTTAAAAGGTGTTTAATCGAATTTTGTATTATGAAATAAAATTAACGTGATTTTTTAATATCAAACAGATGCCACGACATTTTATGTAAAGAGAAGACCTTTTATAGAATATTTCGTTAGCGTTTATTTACTACGGTTTTTTCTGCAAGAGATTACAGTAAAATGTTGAAATAGAATATATTGTTAATAGAGCAAAAAATGTTACTCATTGTCTACGAGTATTATAAAAATAGCATGTGCGCAGGCTAATACTGCAAATCTACCCTTATGAGTTGAACATTATATTTTTTCTACGGCTATTACATATTATTAAAAATTAGTCAAAATGAGAAAATGCTGTTTTGTATTGTAACCTCAGAAAAAAGTATATTAAGGCTTCTTTCTTTAGGAATATTAATTATTATAAAGGATAAGTCACATAAAACTCTAGAAATGCATATGTCTGAAATCAGATAACATTTTAAAATTTAAATCTATTAAAAGTCATTTGGTAGCTAGGGATGAGTGATTATCGAAATAAATTATCGATCATTGAAAATAATCGATTATTTTCGATCAATCGATTATTTTCAAACAATATATTTTTTGTCATTTCCTTTAAAATCGACTACTTGATTATCTTTGAAAAATCAAAAATAATCGATTAATTAAAGAGCCAATTGACCGATAAATCAGTGTTTACAAAATATAATATAAATAGAATTATCGTTTATTTTAAATAATCGATTATTTTCAAATAAACCATTTTTTTTCGTCCATGGAAACAGATTATTCGATAATCTTTGAAAAATCTAAAATAATCGATTAATCAAAAATAATCGACTATTTTAAATAATTGATTATTTTCGATCAATCGATTATTATCAATAATCTATTTTTATTGTATTTCCTTTAAAATCGTTAATTCGATTATCTTTGAAATACCGAAAATAATCGATAATTCCAAAATAATCGCCTAATCGAAAATAATCAATTAATTAAGAAGCCGATTCTATGATAAATCGATTATTACCAATAATCTATTTTATTGTATTTCAAACATAATCGATTAATTAAAAAGTCGATTAACTGACAAATCGATTTTCAAAAAAAAACAGAATGATCGATTATTTTAAATAATCGAATATTTTCGATCAATCGATTATTATCAATAATCTATTTTTATTGTATTTTCTTTAAAATCGATAATTCGATTATCTTTGAAATACCAAAAATAATCAATAATTCCAAAATAATCGCCTAATCGAAAATAACCAATTAATTAAAAAGCCGATTCTATGATAAATCGATTTTCCAAAAAATAAAACGAATTATCTATTATTTTCTAATAATCCTTTTTTCATATTTCCTTTAAAATTGATTATTCGATTATCCAAAATAATTGATTATTAAAAAGCTGATTATCCAATAAATCGATAATTTTAAAAAATAAAAATATCGATTATGTAAAATAACCGATTATATTCAATCGATTATTTTCATATAATATCTTCGAAAAATCGAAAATAATCAAATAATTTAATTTATTAAAAACAGCGGATAAATCGATTTTCATTAAAAAATATCAGAATTATCGATAAATCGATTATTTTTGTAACCCCTATCGGTCGCTTGCTTTTATCTGAGCATTTAGCTCCAAAATTTAGAGATTCGGATTTTTTGATCCAGTTATCTTTGAAATCGCATTCGATTGTATAATAAATAAATATTGCTAAATTTTGGATTTTTTTTAGTAAACGAAAATTATGTTCGAGTTGTTTAGGGGTTTGTAATGTAACATTTTATTAACGTGACTAAGGGTCGATTCCACCGTTGTGTTAAACGAAGTTTAGAATGACATTTTTACATTAACACTGTCATTTTAATCTCCGTTTAACACAACGGTGGAATCGGACCTAACTCCTGTAACTTTAGTATTTTTTTTGGGCTTATACTAGATTACTTTGTTTTAAGACTGAAAATTCAATGTCACTTTCGATTTGACCGCAAATAAGATGAACCTTGAAATTTTAAGTAGGTCATCCTGTATTTCATCTAATATTCTTATAAAAATACCTTATAAAAATACCTTATAAAAATACCTTATAAAAATACCTTATAAAAATACCTTATAAAAATAAAATTTAGCTAGCAACTATGATTCTTTACCTCTTATTTATCTACCAAAAAGGGCTAAAAACTACCTTTAGAAAACATTCTTATAAAACTACTTTTTAAATACAAAATTTCGTTAGCAATAATGCCTATTTACTATTTATTTAAATTAAATGTTCAAAATTTTACCCTTTTGTAAATTTATGTAAGTAATATGAAATCTGATTTCTGATGCTTAATATTTATTGAAACCCCTTAATGCGGATCTGAAGTATTCAGCCCAGAGAATCATGGCGCTTTATGTCAAAACGTTAATAAATATTTACCGCTGAAAACGAATATATTCATAACAGTAGTACTTGTATTATAAGTACATACAATTTTTTAAGATACATCGTGACATTTTGAACTTGAAATTGAATAACTAGAACACTTTAAATTGCTAAAATACCAACAAATAAATCAAAAAACAGCTGTCAATGGTGATTAAACTCAGGTGGAGGTGATCGCTGAATGGAAATCGGAGCAATTCGGGTGGCGTCGTACAACAATGATTTTCAATTGGTGGGTTACTTTGGCTTAAAATAGACAACATGCGCAGTGTGCAATGTTACATCTTCGGTCTCTTTAATCTAAGGTTTGTAACAACAAATTATGTGTCCACATAGTTAAGTCACAGTGTGAGCAAAAAAAGCAGAAAAATAATCACTTATTTCTCGAATTATAAAAAATTAGTATGAGCTGACTCAAAAAGTGGCACGGAGAGGGTGAACAACAATAGATACCAAATAAGTCTCCTTAAAATAGACTCTTTTAAATAGAATCGCACTTCCCCTATTTATTCCACCAAGGATTCGGCATATTCGGCCGAATTTATTTATTTATCTATTTATTTAAAAGAAAGGTTTTGTAACCTCATTACATGCTAGAAGATTATAAACTTACAGTTAAATGCTTTTATCAATGCTCTCACCCTTGAAAATAAAGTCATTAAAAAAGAGAACATATATACATGGGCATCGTTACACAATTCTAGGGGAGAGGCAAAACTTTTTGAAAAAATTTAGAATGTTTATTTGTTGGAAAACAAAGAAAATGAAAAATAGAAGAGAATTTTCTTATGATGGATTTAATTATTCTTTAACGTCATGGCTTACTTCCGGTTTTTCCAGAAATAACAGAAAATCGCAATTTATTTTTAAATTTTAAATTAAAACCCTTTTTCTAATTGAAAATTTGAATTTTTGGGACATTTTTGTATAAGAATTGAACATTTTCTGTCAGTAACATATTAAAAAAAATATATTTTCCAATATGATGGTCATTTTGACAGCTGACAGAAAATTTTCAACACATGATTCTTATCCATAAATGTCCCTAAAATTCAAATTTTCAATAAAAACGAGGGTTTCTATTTAAAAATTAAAAATAAATTGAGATTTTCTGTTATTTCCGATAAAACAGAAGTAAGCCATGAAGTCACACACCAATTGAATCCAGTATATAAGAGTATTTGTCCCAAGCTTTTAAACAAATATCTCAATTAACAATGAAGATAAAAGCGGATGGAATTATTAAACGGTTTGCTAATAATTAAAATGCTTAGATACGCCACGGGTATACAATAAATGGGTCTCAATAGAAATTTTGAATCCTAAAAAGATTTTATAAAGTTCGTACATTTCTATATGTTTTTCCATAAACGAATTAATTGTAACATATTTAGAAAAAATAGTATCCAATTTGGCGGCTATTTTGACAGCTGACAGAAAATTATCAATACACGATTATTATACAAAAATATCCCAGAAATTTAAATTTACAATAAAAAAGAGGGTTTCCGTTTAAAATTTAAAAAAAAATCGATTTTCTGTTATTTCCGGAAAAACCGGAAGTAAGTCATGACGTCACAGAACAATTGATTCCATCATAAGAAAGTATTTGTTCTAGTCTTTCAAACATAGCAAAATTATTCCGATATCTTACTGAATAGCGAAGATAAGGGTGAGTGGAACTTTAGGAGTAACCCAAACCATAACATAACAAGTCTTTAATAAATAAAATAACCCAAAAAAATGACAAAACTAAAATAAAGAAAAAACAAGAAATTTAAAAACACATTTTTAAAAAACAAAATAATAATATAAAAAATAAAAATTTATAAAAAACAAAAACGACGTTGAACACAAAAAAAAAACTAGTAAAACGAAAAATTTTAAATTTCTTTTTTCTCTACTAAAAACATCGATGCCAGAAAACATAATTTATTTTTCAGTTAGCCTATTTTCATTCATTATACGCTCCGTGCGTGACAGCAGCGTCAATTATTTTATGAACTAACGGACGATATTTGCGTATACTGACAATACAATTTTTAATAGAGTTCGTAATTAAAAAATATATATGTTAATTTTAATTAAAGTATATGGATTTGTAAAACAAGTGAAAAACTTTATTATTATTATATGGGCGATTCTTGCATAACTGTGATTTTTTAGCATAAGTTTTCCTCATCAAAAAGTTATTAATATTGTAAATTTAGAGGTATTTTACAACTGACATTATGAATTAGATCATAAACCTTCGCAAATTTTTTTTAAGCTGCACCTAAATATAC